TCTCTCTCTCTCTCTCTCTCTCTCTCTCTCTCTCTCTCTCTCTCTCTGTGCGTTCCTAACTGTATGTGCCGTAGCTCCATCAGTGGATTTAGATTTGGACGATTCATGGAATTAGCCCAGGGATCAAGGGCTCAGAGTTGGGGGGGTAGATATATATATATATATATATATAACAGGCTCCAACTATGGCTAACTGACAGAGCGCTGCTAACAGCCGTGTGTAATCCTCTCTGTAGGCTAAGTCAGTAGGCTATGTATGTAACATGGTGGTGACGGAGCTATGCAGCATGATGAAGGGTGTCCTGCTCCTGCAGAAGTATGAGTGAAGAAAATTCATGTAATATATGTATATTTTTATTTATTTATTTATTTTTATCTATATATATATATTCTGCTTTAAACATTGGAAATTCGCACAACAAACTCTCTATTTGAAATTTAGAAGATCATCAATTTCCTGCAAATTAGTTTGAATCTGCATGAAATGGCCACATATTTACATATTTAAGTTGCACAAAATCAAAATATATATTTGTCAGCCGAGTCAAATGCAGCTTTTATTAAGAACCACATTCTAGCTTGTTATAGAACAACACACACCATTTGAAATTTTGGAAGGTGTAAGCTATTGTACAGGTCTGGGCAAATTTCTAGTCCAATCTTCGCTCTCAAAATCAGCTTCAGGAGACAGAACCGGTGTCTTACCTGATCTAACCTTGCAGAGACTACAGTAACTGTGAGCTGCTATCCACATACAGTAAAGTATATAAACTCATTGCAGATTAGTTGCAGCTATGTGTGACTTGTTCAGGTGACGAGCAGGAACAGAAAACTCAGTGACAGCAGCTAGTGGGCAGGTGAGGAATGGCAGATGTTACAAGAAATGGTTTGCATCTGTATGCTGGGTCTGTCATCTTCCACCATGTACATGACAGGAACAACTGATTCAGACCGATTGATTCATAGTACCAAATAAATGGATGGTGTTAAACTAACAGACAGAAAGAAATAGATTAGATACAAAACGTCTCCAAACTTTATTAGAGAGCAGAGCTCTGCGAAACAGAAAATCTCCACCTTTCATGCGTAACATCAGTGTAATAGGACAGTGCAGGTATTGATCCTGAATTTCACGGCTCAGTGTGTCGCTGTTTTAGCCAAACCTAATGAAAGAGTTTTGTTCCTGACGTCCCACCACCAAGTAAGCCTCTGTTCATCTGAGGAAAAATAATCCACATGCTACAGAGTTGAGCAGCAAATCTATGAGTTCAAATGGCTAATCTGCTTTGCTGTGCCCACCACAGGAAGAGTAGTTGCATTCGAGGCCGAGCTGAACGTCGCTCACAGCGCTCCCTATACCACTCTGGTGTCTTGAAGCTTGTGGACGTGCTGGCCAACGAGGGAGACGCCTGCAGTCTTGACATCCTTAGATGAGATCATTGCAGCAGAAGATAATGTCTTTGTCCGGGTTTCATTTAGGGCAACTGAGACAGATAGAGGTGCTTGAAATCTTTCTGAAAGGTGTTTAGCTATGTAACATATTTCATGCAAAATGATCACCATATAGCTGAATTTGTTTCTCATCATGTATACATTATGCGCAATACATAACCTGTCAAACATGCATTACTTGTGTAAACAACAATACTTGTTTTTGAACAAAAGCTTACTTGCCCAGAGCATTTTGAAAAAAAAAAATACATCACAAAATGGAGCTAAGAAAACATATAAAAGCCAGAAACAGAAGCACGATAACTGATCACCAGTGAGGACATGGCTGTGTTTATTTCTTAATTCTGCTTGTAATCTCCCCTCTGGCTTATGTTTACTCACTAATTATCTCTTATCCCGCCACTTGTTGTGTTACAGAAGATTAATATTGATTTTTAATTTTTTTATGATATTATTATTGATTAATATGATATTCATTTAAAGAAATGTGAGGGGGAAAAAATCAAGTTTAGATATTTCATATAACTCATGGTCAGTAACACATCACATACACAACTCTGTAAAATCCAGTTGTGTAAAACGTGATATTCTGAATACATCACTAAACTTCCCCTTTGAAAACAGGAAGTCTATTATTACTGAGGACAAGCAAGAGTTTGAAGAATTTGACAGACGATGAAACTTGATCACCTAGCTGTGCTAAATCTGTCAGGATCCCTGTCAGACCAGACACCTCCCATGGCCACACAGCTGCAGCCACTCCAGCCGATTACCTCCTGCAGGCTGACACACCAGACTCAGGTCCCATTAGCGCTTCCCCTGGCACTATATAAACTCTGGTCCTGCAGTCTGGGGTTGTCAGGTCGTACCGTCTTTCACCCGCTCCGGTGTCCGTCGGTCCGGGAATCCCCCGTGCCCTCCATTGTGTTAACGGACTACACACGGCGTCAAGCTACCAGTCCTTCGGTGTCGAGCCACGGGACATCACACCGTCAAGCTACCAGCCCTCCGGTGTCGAGCCACGGGACTCACACCGTCGATCTGCCTACTCTCTGGTGTCGGACCACAGGCTCCACACCTTCCTGTCTTCTCTTTATTCAGGCTAAATAAAACCTGTTTATATCAACTTCTGTCTCCTGTGGTCTTGCGATTGGGTCCTAACCCGTGAACTCCTGTGACAAAATCAGTGCCAAGTGTCATTTTCACTATTATTGAACTGATTCTGAATCAACCACCTATCATGCCTACAAAAACATTCCTCATTGGACAGTATTTACACCACATGAGTCTTCTGTTGTCATATTGACCTGCAGCTCCTGATGTTGCCTGCTCTATCATTCTATGGTCTGTTATTGCACCAATGCCCCTTCCTTCCTTCCTCAATCTCAAACCTAACCAAACATAAGTAGTGTGTTATTACTCTATGGTTACACTAAACTCATTGAAGTCAGGCTTTAATATATTGTAATTATCACAGCTTGTTTTAAAAATTTGAATCTTTCCATAACTTCTCAGCATGTTGCCTCCGCATGAGACGTTCTACAAACCAGAAAAACAACCTCACTCGCCTCTACCTGTTTTCCAGCTGATGACATGTTTTTTCAACATGTCTCTGCACCAGTAAAATAAGTTTCTGTATTTTTATTATAGCCGTCTAAAGTTACTCAGATTCCAGTATGCCTGCATTTCATATTTTATGTTGCTTTATATTTATAGAAAAATTAAGAAGTGATCCTTAATTTCAAATAAGCAAACATTTCCACAAAGAATACTTTCAAGCTAAATAAACAGGTTGTAACTAGAAACCAGACGAACAACTTCGGCTTCTCTGTTCGTCTTTAGAACATTTGCAACATTCCCCTGCAAGACAGCAACAGGTAAGAAGCTCTTTGCTCCGAAGTTAGATTGGTTGTAGGGTTTCATACCAGAATTTGCAAACATATATTCATATTTAAAGGACAAGCAAATAATTCTTATACATTTTGCATAGGCGCAAAACTTATTGCTGAAATTACTTCCGAAATATTTTCTTTCTTCGAAGATTTTCTTTTTTACTAATCATTGATTTATAGTAAACTGCATCAGTTACATGTGACCACATAATCTTGTGTTTAACCACCTTTCTATTTTATATTACAAGTCTACAGAATTGCAGCTTGTAGACAGTTAAATCACTGATATTATGTTGTAACCATAAAAATATTGTACTCATTTAATTTTTGTTTTTGTTTTTACAGACATCAGAAGTTTTAGTCATGGCGTACGAACCAGGTCGAGGAGACAGCATTTCTCCATCAGGTAAAAAAAAAAGAAAAAGCATTTTAAACATTGCTATTATGCAGGGCCATAATACCAATATGTGCCAACTTTACACAGCATCATGTTGTTATGTTTGCCATAGTTAAATTCACTTATATTGTGGAATTGATTGATTGGTGGCTTTGTGAGAATTATTATTCCATTAACATGTAATGGTTTCAGTTGGAGTACATCACCTAAAATTATTTGTGTACAACTAGTTATCAATAATAAAATGAATTGTACTATTCATTATAAAAACATAGTGTCTATGCCCACACCCCAATTACTTTAATACTGTCTTTAACTGATTTTGTCAACATTTCCACTCTCAGAGGAATTAGTTGGTTGCTTTTTGTGACTCAAATTACAACATTGTTAACTCCTTGCTCTTATTATCATGATGTCGCCCATTCTAGGCACTGTAGCTTTCACAGCCAAGCTGAAGGTCGATGACAGCTACCCCTGTTACTCTGGAGCCCTGAAGTTTACCACTTTACTGGTCAACGAGGGAGGAGGCTACAGTCCCGACACGGGCCTCTTCACCTGCCCCGTGGATGGCTTCTATTACTTCACCGTGCATATGTCTGTGTATGGACGCGGACAGGGCGCTATCTTCAAGAATGGAGAGAAAGTAGTGTCTCTGTATCACACCTCTCTGCCTGATAAGTGCAGCCAAGTGGCCAGTATGAGCAGTGTGATCAAACTGTCCAAAAACGATGAGGTCGCTGTGAATATCTGGGGGCCGGGCAGAAACGATATCTTTGCAACTGTAGACAATGACACTGTGTTTACTGGTTTTCGTTTGGGTTAAAGACATTATAGAAAACATCAATAAAGCTAATGGCTAGGACAATAAGCCAATACCACCTCAGAGTATGTATTATTGGTGAAGTTTGTTAAATGGTCTTTTCCTTGTGGTTTTGCATCAATAAATTTAATTTCATACTGAAATGAACTTTTGTTTTAATTTTCTTTTACCATGAATGAATAATATAATAGGCGACTGTATGGCAAATAGAAATAAGAGTCCCTCGAAGCTTCTTTTTTCAGTCTTCCCCACACCGGGGGGCGCTGTCTCAGAAATCTTCATTTTGTTCATAGTACACGCATGCGCAGACGGTCTGTTTTCAAACCAGTGGAAGGAAGCGGCGGTGGAAGAAGTGAAGGATCTGAAAGAGCATCGCACATTTATTATTTGTCACGTTTAACTTCAACATATAGGTTTTCCAATGGATTTGGAAACTGGAACATACGAACCAGGATTTGTTGGGATCCGGTTTTGTCAAGAATGGTGAGTTTGCGGCCAATTTAGAGGATAGATAAGTTACACAAGCGTGTTAAAGCTAAACGCACGTTAACACAACGTTGTTCTAATGAACAAACTGCGCCTGTTTGTTTTCCAGTAACAACATGTTGTACCCGAAAGAAGACAAGGAGAACCGTATCCTGCTCTATGCGGTAAGTATCTGGTTCACAGTTAAGGTCCCACAGAAAAAAATCAGTGAAATGTAGTGTCTCAGTGCAATGCACGAGGGATCACTCCAATGGTAATGTTGATATACTGAGGCCTATACAGTGTAAAACCTATGTTGCTGCTTTTACAGAGGTGCAGGAAAGCAATGAGCTTACATGTCCACTGTTACCATGTAATAAGCTGCTGAATGTCCTCTCTCTCTCTTATTGAACTCAACACACAGTGCAGGAACTGTGACTACCAACAAGAAGCAGACAACAGCTGCATCTATGTCAACAAGATCACCCACGAGGTCGAGTAAGTAAAAGAAAACAAAGTGCTAAACGAGTTGCTAAGAACTTGATTTTCGCTCGAAATTGGCGAATATGCCACGCTGCTGTTCTCACTGCAGTTTCATCTCTGAAAGTCTTGTTTTTTGCTGACCTGTTGGTTTAACATCTCACTCTGCTGTAGTGATGTACAGGTGTACACAGAACCCTGTGACATCACTTCTGGGTGTTGTTACCCGTTCAACAAAGCACATTTGTCTGTCTATGAGCAATGGGCTTAAAATATTGAGTTTGTGTGTGGTGGGTTGTACTTGTTGGGCATCCACTACATATTTGTAGCCCTTAACCAACACAAAAATGGTATGAAAAATCAAGTTAGACGCATTCTCCAGACACTTTCCGGCACGCTAGTCCTGACATTTAATAGGATCTTCCCAAAGTCAGTTAAAGAGAATCCCTCAATTTTATTTGTGCCCATCCAGACTGCAGGAATGACTTTTACAATGGTGTGAATACATATTGAGTGACTACACATAAGGATAAATATTTGTAATAGAGCAACGTTTGTAACGCTCAAGATACTAAAACATTACATTGCACATTTTACGTGTGTAATCTCAGTCACTTGAAGGCTAATTGTTGGTGAGTCATCCAGTTTCTTGCTTTTCTTTTTCTCCAGTGAGTTGACACAAATCATTGCTGATGTATCTCAGGATCCAACACTTCCCAGGACAGAGGACCACCCCTGTCCCAAGTACGTTTCACCAGAATGAGTCGACCTCACCCATTCTCTCTGGAGAGCCCTAATTCATATCTTTTTTTAAAGTGAATATTTATTGTGTTGTTAGTGCAGTGCAACATCTAGTATTGGTTCATTTCTGCACATTCGGCACAGCTTTGTTTTATTGATTATTTTTTTTACCACCTCGGAGTGAAAACTTGTCTCCTACATTCCCTTCAATAAGCTTTTCTAAACGTCATCATGCCTAATGTGCTAACAAACAAGCAAAACTGTTTTCTCATTAGAGTCCTCATTCTCACTACATTCTGAATATTTACTGGGAGTTTTGCCCTTTTTCACCGGCCATGTTCTGACAATATTTCTGTAAGTTTACCTCGCTGGATGTTTGACTCTCTTCACCAGCGACACATTTACGTCACCACGTTCCCGTCTTTAACCGGGCAGGTTACCATCCTTTAGGACTTGACCCCCGATTGTGTAATGAGGCTTTGTGTCATTAAGCGGCTGTGTTTGTATTTGTTTCTAACAATGTTCTCCAACCATGTCCACCCAGATGCGGTCACAAGGAGGCAGTGTTCTTCCAGTCTCACAGTATGAAGGCTGAGGTAACATCATTTCTGTCTATGAAAACCTTTACTGGCTTTTTGTGGTCAGTGTGTCTATACATCTTTTTTTGATTTTACAATCTGAGTAGACAACCTAATATTTGAATATGTTTCTCATGACAGGATGCTATGAGACTGTACTACGTCTGCACGGCCCCTCACTGTGGACACAGATGGACAGAGTAAAGCCAGCGATAATGACGAGGTCGAACATTTTCGTCTGCGGTATTGCTGTTCGCAAAACGCTGCAGCTCAGATGGAGTACTTTCTTTACTATTACTGTGCAGTTTGTTTGTCAAATAGCAGAGCTGCTGATTTTTGTAGACCCTGAAATGATCTTTGTTTGATTGCATGCAGTTAGTCAGACATCATCTTGTGAATATAATGTATTAATACTTTTTTTAATAGCAGTTGTCATTTTCAAATTTGTTTTGTTAGATTAAACAAATCAGTTGTTTCAAATGTCTCTGAGTATTTAATGAAAACTTGTTACAAATATTAAAGGGTTAGCAGACACACCCATGCTTTTGGCAGCATGGACTTTTCAGAATCAGAATAAGAATCAGAACTGTTTATTGCCATGGTATGTTGAACTTACAAGGAATTTGGCGTGACGGGAGGTGCAAACATTTAACAATCAACAACAATCAGTGCAAGTAGAAACATATTCAAATTTACAAGAGATATAAAATAAAGTAAGCCATCTTCAGTCCTGTGACTACTTAATGTCAGAATTATACCACTTCCTGTTTCCTCCCACTGTAAATGCATACACACAGCTGGATAATGTAAAACTACTGGTTTCCTCTTATGAAGCAGTCATACCTCGTTTACGGTAAAGAAACGGACACGGTTTTCCTGTCTCCATGTGGACTATTGACCGTGTCGATTCCACTTCCTTCTTTTACAACCACGTATATTCCACAAAACCTGTTGGGTAACTGTAGATTATTTCTCAGCCAACATGACCAGTTGAGACATATAACTTGTGCGCTGAGCCTCGACACGGAGGATCGAGGAAGGTGTACTTCCCGTGACCACACCTCCTGAGACGGGCTCCTTCATAAGGCAGCTGCACGGCCCACTGCATTCAAAAGCATCTGAGTACGGAGGTATGGCCCAAACAGGTATGATGACAAACAGCCTTTACACTACATATTTTACACTTGAAAATCTTGATAACATTTTATGGCATAAGCCAAGTGATCAATTATGACTATACTGTAATTGCTTTTCAGTGACCATTGTTTCGAGGCAGCAGTGGGGAGCAGTTGCCCCTAAAAGCAGAGAGGACTTGAAAGACTCTGCCCAGAAAGTTGTCATACACCACACCGCCAACCCAAGTTGCAAAGACCAGGAAGAGTGCATGAACCGCCTGGTCAGCATTCAGAGAAATCATATGACGGAAAGAGACTTCGATGACATCGGATATAAGTGAGTACCTCAAACAGTCCAGGTGAACGTCATATTTCGAGTGATGTTAATATTGTGTGTGTAGGACGTGGGCGTACTGGAGGGAATTTAGTCATGTATCCCTTCTAATACGTTTCTGATACTTTTCAATGCTATAGGATCCTCAACCATGCTCTGTGTGTTTCAGTTTTCTTGTCGGAGGAGACGGAACAGTGTATGAGGGCCGCGGCTGGGGTGTGGTAGGGGCACATGCCAAAGGCAATAATCATGACTCACTGGGGATTGCCTTCATGGGAAATTTCAAAGGTAGGTGCACTCATTAACTTTTTTTTATTATAGTGCAACAATAAGAAGCACATCACATTGCATGCAAACCTTCAGAATGGTGTTATGAAGTCAGATATGATAATGCTACATCTTTTCATTTCAGTTGACATGCCGAGCACAGAGGCAATGTCGTCTGTCAAACGCCTGCTGCAGTCTGCCGTTTGTCAGGGCTTTTTAAACCCAAAGTTTACCCTGCTTGGGCACAGGGATCTGGGACAAACAGAATGTCCAGGAGGTAAACTGTATGCTGCTCTATCACAGCTGAGGGACACATAATGCTCACTACAGATCATGATGGTTTTCATGAAAGACAGAAAAAAGCTTTGACACACAAACCGTCACCAGTTAAATTTTAAACCCCAGATTTGAAATGTACAAAGTGACAGGATGAATCTATTGTACACTAATGATCCAATCAAATTTTTCTTTTAACATTTTTATCATGGCTGTCCTCAGAACTACGGGAAGCTTTGTGTCCCACAGGTTTCCCAGCCTGTTAGACCTTCTCTTACAGCAGAGGGAGCCGTCATTTGGGGTGAGACCAGTAGGCTTTAGCTGTCCACCAGTGCAAAATGCATGAAAGTCAATGCACTTTAATTCACATGTTGAGTAATTGTCCCAGAAGCTCTTACTTTTTAATTTGATTACATTCTTTCAATTCGTCACCATGCTAATTTTGTGTTACATAAGTGCAATATTAATATGTTTGGCACTACATTTTACTTATGAATACTCTGCATGATATTGTTATTAATGGTCAAGTGGTGTAAGCTAAACATTCACATGGATTTAACCTGTGCTAATATTATATTAATAAATACTGTGTTATCAGCAATATTCTGACTGTTTGATTCATTATATTTTACTTGTGTGAGGATTTCTCTTTGCATTCATCCACGACCACAGGGGACACCGTTAGCCACAGAGTGGCGCTTGCTGCTTGGGTTTCACTATTTGGGTCACAGGAGTCCTCTAAACAGAATTCATTTAGATTACGATAAAATATACTAAACTGTAGGCCTGCAAATGTGTCTTTGCAAGCACCGTGTCCTCATGGTGCCACTGCAAAAATCACTGTAACCAACCCAAGACATGAAATCAAATATTAAACAGAGAAGAACAACCGAGGGGATTACAAGTGTTGAGACAACAATGTGCGCATTCTGCAGTGCCTGAAACATTCCCAACAAGTGCTCACTTGTGCAACGCAGGGATTAGGGAGGGAGGCCCCTATCAAATAGACTAAGAGAAGGTATAATGGTAACAGATTTTAGGTGTAGCTCCGGTCGTCATGTCTGATGTCTGGCATATGAACTGTGAAAGACCCAGCCTAACAGTGGATTTGATTAGAATCGCCCTGTATTAGTCATTATCTTGATAGAAGTATTATGCATAAATTAGTGGTTAGGAAGCAGTAGTGGGGTGATCTTTTTTGATATGTCATGGTTTAATTAATTTTGAATAGCTTTATATTTTTTACATTAATTTAAAAAAATGAATGGACTAATTCCATCTGTGAGCAGTCGGAATTGAAAACAATCTACAATTTTCAATAAAAGGGCCTTAAAAAAAAACATGTTAATCAAAATGCCTGTTTATGCCTTTCTGAATTTAGCAGAAAGCTTCCGAAGTTTGCCTTTTATGCCTTTGCTTCTTTCAGTAGATGTGCTGCTCTTTACTAGTAGCACATCTTTTAAGGAAAAAATAATGAAAAGTTTGTCTCATGTTCATTTGTGTATAATGACCAAAAAAGTTGGTGATGGAAATGCACAAAAAGATTCACGTTAAACGTGGTTGGATGAGCTATTTACTCACAGTCTAATGCAATGCTTGATTTCTTCTCTCAACTCACAGATGGTGGAAGGGAAGACATTAATCTTCGGCATTAGGGAACAAATTTAGTGTGTTCAAAAGCTTCAGGTGAAAATAAATGTGTGAGAGAGCTCCGATAGGCTGTGTCACACACAGGATATAACACAAGACATCTCCCCAGGCCATGTTTCACTCTCTTCTGGCTTGATCCTTTATGAGATAAATCATGCTATTATAGGCAGGAGTGTTGTACTCTTGATACTCCCAGCTACCTGAGTGTAAAGTGTGTGCTGTAGTGCCACTGAGTGTGTCATGAACTGTCTTTTTATTCATTTATTAACTGCCCCTTCAGGAAGACATAGCTTGCTCTCTTAACACGCCTCATTCATATATGATGGGATGCATCATTGTCTTGATATAAGAGAAAAAACATGCCTCTGTCTCTCTTCCTTCCACACAAACACTCATTTCAATTATTAATTCACTTTGCCTGCATTCTTAAGGAAAATCCCAATTAAATCATAGTAGAAGCAAGTTTATTGGAGAGGTTAACCAAGTGATTTCAAAATAAGAGCTGCTAACCGATGCATTGTTCTTATTTCACAATATTGGGACAGAGTTTAATTTCGCAATAACAGGCAAAAACATACGTGGGATCACCTTGTCCAATTTTTCAAAAGAAAAATACCCAACATGCATCTGTTCTTGCGTTTCACTCTGTTGGTTTAGGCCTATTACAGACTTTTAAAAAGGCATTTTGGCAAATAATGTCAACGAAGGTGCGCAGAGGAAGCAAGAAAACGAGAGAGCGATGAGGCCAGCCCAGAAGGCAAGGCGCGTGTGGGAGGGTTGGGTTTCATGAGTCACGGATGTGATATAATTAAAACCGAGAGTTCACCGATCAGTCACACAGATTGACAGCCTTTCCTCAAACGTCTTTTGGCACGTCCCCTTTCTTCAAAGTAATAATGCTCTACTTTTTGTGGGTAACTAGAGCTCAGCTTCGGCGATCATGCGCATTTGTTGTCACGCTGTCTGGCTAGTGCGTCTTTGGCTCTTCACCACTTTGAATCAGCGCATCTTCGCTCCGTGGGTTCAGTGACGCGCTCGTCTCTGCTCAGCGGACGCCTCTGGTGAATTTTACTTGTGACTTCAACCTTTGAGATGGAGGACTTCAAAACTTCAGACCGTTTTTTCCACAAGTCCTCATTCAGCATCAGCAGCCTGTTGTTGAGACGAGAGGGAGTGATCGGTGACGCAGAGTCTCCTTCTCCGTCCCAGAAAGTGCGCTCCGCACATCCAGAGAAACCCAGTCAGGAGGAAAACTCTGAAAAGAACTGCGAGAACCCCAAACTGCGCACCAAAGCAGAAATCAAAACGGTGACTTCAAATGGAAAACGAGAAGGAAATAATTTCGAATCAAAGAAAAGCGGTGGAGTAGAAGAAAGCGTAAAACCTGAGAAACCTCCTTTCAGTTATAACGCGCTCATCATGATGGCGATCCGCCAGAGCCCGGAACGACGGCTCACACTCAACGGCATCTATGAGTTTATCATGGCCAACTTCCCATACTACCGGCAGAACAGGCAAGGGTGGCAAAACTCAATCAGGCACAACTTGAGTCTGAATAAGTGTTTCGTTAAAGTGCCGCGCCACTATGATGACCCGGGTAAAGGCAACTACTGGATGCTGGACCCCTGCAGTGAGGACGTCTTCATAGGTGGCACATCGGGGAAACTCCGGCGCAAGGCCGCAGCTGGATCCAGAACCAAGCTTGCGCTAAAGAGGGGAGGAGGTCGTCTGATGTCCTCCGGCACTGCAACCAGCGTGACCTTGGCCGCAGCGGGTTCATTTTACTGGCCGGTGCCGCCGTTTCTGCCTCTCCAAGCACCAGTGCGCACCCACCTTGGCGCAGGGACTTATCTGAGTGCTCACCCCCGCTTCCCAAACCACGCCACATCGATGGTTTCACAGCGGTCCCGATTGAGTGCAACAAGTGCTGCAGACGCCAACCGGTTCGTGCAGACGCACCAGGAGATGTCTTATATCGGACTCAGTTGCGCGCAATCCCGACACCATCAGATTGGCACCGCCTGCACCGCTTTCTCCACATCCATCCCTGCATGCACCCTGCCGCTGTCGGATCCGTACTCTTTTAACATGATCTCCGGACAGGCCAGCTACTTTTACTCTCATCACATACCGTGTGCTGCGACGTTTAATCCGTGCCAAGAGGAGTGCGCCGCGTCCAAGACGTCTCCAGGACAATTCCTATCCAAGAACGGCCACTCAGAACTCGGGGGGTTCTGTAATGACTTTCCAAATTACTGCCCTCAAATCAGTTCAAGCCCTCCTTCGTCCTGGAATACAGACAAATAGAGTAATAGTAATCGTGCCCAGTTTTAAAGATGTATGTGTTTAGATTAACAAAATTGGCAAATAAAAGGCCAGAGCATCTTACTTAAAAGAGTAGCCTACATGCAGATTGGAATTTCTTGAGTTTGTGAAAAGTCTGGTTAAGGAAATGTATCCCGCAATATTTTGTATTACGGCGACATATCTTGATTGAAATTTGAAATGTTTTTGCTTTATCGTGTGATGCAAATTGTGTCAAATTAACATAAAATAGTTGAAGCATAAACAACATGAGGCAGAGTCACACATACACTGAAGTTTGAACAAAGGCTTCTTCGCACACAAGCCATTTCCAAAATTGTGCAAAAAAATGTATTTGCGCATCGGTTTGTTATTTTAAAAAACGTCAGTGTATCAATTTAAACAGAGTCAAATTAAAGATTTTTTTAATGTATGGAATTGCCACTTGGTCTGCATCTGTTAATTTAAACTATATCCCTCTTTTAGAAACACTGCTGTCCACGTATCTCATGAATTATTTCCACATATATGTATGTATGCACTTGCCAGTATAGAAATTGAGTGATGTTTGCGAGCATGTCACAGTTTTTGGCCAAATGCCATCATCTGACTTTACCAACAAAATTCCACAAAATGTCATTCTAGAAATAAATTATATTAAAAACAAAATGCTCATTCTGTCTTTTTTTATTTACCAGCATGTTGACCGAGATCGTAATGAGGTTTCTGATATGTAGTTCCAACAAACTTATTCAAAGATCTAATAAAAATATTGATATTCCACTGAGGTGAACTCGTTTTAAAATATAGAAAAGTATACATTAAGTGAAAAATACACTTTTAAATGTATTGCATTTATTCTCTTCGACTTTGATACAAAAATGCCATTACTATTATAATTAGCCTACATGTAATTAAACGATAAATACTGCATTTCTAATTGTGTTTTCTTTTCACCTCATTACTGTTGTTGATTGTTCTTATTTGTGCTGTTATTAAATGTTTCACTCTAGAGATTGGAGCCCACACAGCAAGGACGATAGACTGAATCAATTATTTGAAATAATTTGTGAAGTTGCGGGAAGGAGGCCTATATGTACATGCTGTGATCCGCTAATTTTTCATTTTTTTTCTTTTTAATATCAACAATTCAAATGTGCACCTGAAGCTTTCCTTGAGGAGATATCATGCGCGCAGACTGTGATGTAGCTTCAGCACTTGACATTTCCAGTTCCGCTGATCTTATTGATCTGTCTTGTGTTTCACCCGGCATCACTGCCTGTTCAACTTTCCCTCACCTCTAGTCTCCCTGATATGTACATTCATATGGAAATAGATGTATGAGGATACAGATTAGAGCAGCTTCCAGGACGGCTGCCTCCGCGAGACAAAAGAGTCTTTATATCAAGAGACCCAAGCCCGTCACCTCTCCAAGACCAGTCACATTCATGACGCCTGTGGTTAAAGCAGACTGGGCTGGATCAGGTAACTTCACTGTTGGCAAACTCACACTAGATAGATGCGAAGATAGTAATATTTTCATTACTTGCATGAGTAATTGTGGTCGCAGAAAGCAGAGGACAGAGCTGTGAATCAACAGGTTTATAATGCTAAAATGAGTTGTATACCCTGGGGCAGGGTAAGAAGATATGTTTCCTGTTGAAATAAATAAGCACCTTTTTTGGCAGCTCCACTGATAATCACAGAGATAAATCACCCTGCTAATACAGATATATTAATATATGCTGTCACTTGACAGTTGGATTGGGACAATTTGATGCTTATATCTGATCATGAAAGTTACACAGAAAAAATAAGAGGTTTTTTTCAGCATGGTTTCTGATCTTGATTGTGTTCGCTGAGCCCACTTTCTTGAAATTCTGCCACCAATATAAAGTGAAACAGTTTACAGTTGTAATATTTAAGGGACTGAAAGGAGTTGAAAGGAGGGTAGTGTAAGTTTATGGGAGAGGAAGGCTTTATTTTTTATTTTTACAATCTGATTTATACATAATTTCATTCTTCCCTTGTAAGATTACATGTAATAATGATAATAATCAAAAACGTTACATATTCCAAAACAGATGCCTTTTCTGTGAGCCATGTGCAGGGGACACTCGTCCTTTCTCAGGGATTTGTTTTCTCTATCAAAACATATTTTGCAAATCAGAATAGACACCGATATTCATATGAAGATCATTGTCTATTCTAGTAGTTAGTGATGTTACCTCTTCACAGAACCCATAAGCAGCTCAAACCTTCGCTATTTTGCAACAGAAAGAAAAGAAAACAGTGAAATGTGTCAAAGTGCATCTAAAATAATAAGTTCAGAATCAAACAGAGCCAGTCAATTTCTCCCCCAACCCAATAACCACAGTCCCTAAGAAAGCAATGTATTTCACCATAATCATGTGAATAAAGTGTGAATGTAATCTTACACATTATTCTGTTGTTTCAGAGTGATACAATTATTCTCCTCTTCTCCGTCTGTTTTAATGGTTGTAGGTTAATCTCTGCTCTCTTAATTGGGCAACTGCAAAAGATTATTGCAATCCTACAGGCGAGTGCCACACTTGTGCAGGTGCTTCATAAAGATGTAGTACAGCTCTGGAAAGCAATCCCACACGCTCACCTTTCTCAACAGCACACAGGCTGCCATTATCTGCAGCAAGTGGCTTCCACAGGTAGATCTGCCACCCAATGAAATAAGGTGGGTGGGTTATACACCCCCAGGCGTCTGCCTGTCTCATGCCAGAAAGCCAATCTCTCAATGTCTTATTGCTGCTGTGTAGATAATGTGGCCTATGTCCCTCTCTCTCACACACACACACACACACACACACACACACACACACACACACACGTACACACACATACACACATACACACACACCTTACCCTGGTTCTTGTTGTGTTAAAGAGCAAAACAAAGACTTATCTGTTTGGGTCTGTGGTATCACTTTGGCTGCTCACTCTGCCATCTCTTTTCCTGTGACAATTTCTTGAACAGTATAGGGTCTTTGTGGTTTATGTACAGCATGATATGAATACCACATCCTAAAAAAGCACAATAAATATTCATAATATTAAAAAAATATAGTACGGATATGATCATCTCTTCCTCTTTGGTCTCATTTTGATCAACAACCAAATTCTGCAGAACAGTCCCTCCCTCTTATCACCAGCTGTAGTAGAGGAAAAGGTAGTTAAACGCACTAAATGTAAAAGTAGTCTCCACATTATGCATAACAATATAGACCTGCGTTACGGTTTTATTATATATGGTTATTATAACTGATGCATTAACGCCTTTTAATGTTGTAGTTAGTCAGCAAAATTACTAACTGTCATTGGAAATACATTGTAGAAGACAAATATTATATATCATATATAATACTTGCAAATGAAAGTATAACGTAAAATAAAAGGTATATACTAGAGTACAAGTACAAGTACGTCAAATTGTACAGTAATTAAGTGTTCAAACGTTGGTTTGAGTGAACATTTTCATTGGACTGTTGTAACCCGGAAGTTATTACAAAACTTTGAAGGGCGTACTAGTTGACCCGGAAGTAGCCTGATCCACGCGAGTGTAGCAGAGTCGTCGCGGATACGAAGATAAGATACCCGGTGGAGTCGAGCAGGATACGATCTGAGAAGACTGTTTTCACAAATCAACAACCATGTAAGTATCTGTAATGAACAACCGGTCTTTGTGATGGTGGTCATTTTCAGTCTCAGAGCCGAAGATCTGAATCGCAGCCGCCAAAAGCTAACAGTTAAAATGCTAAGCATGTTAGCATTTCAGAGAGTCAGCTATAAGAGCCAAGGCCAGTTAGCTCGAGTTGAAAAACCCTTTGTATGTCTTTTTGATGCTTTGTATACTTCAGCCCAGCTATGTTACAACTCTGTAACTCATAGAGTATCAAATATAATACATAATCTGTTTTGTTGAACTTCTGTGGTTCAAATTAGAAAAGTAGCGAAGTCAGAAGTCGCACAATAGCATTGATAGCATAGCTAATTGCTAATACCAAGCTAAACGGTGCAGTGTTTGAGCATGCGTAGTCTTGCATTTTGATTGTTGTTATAGCTTGTAATTAATTTTGAGTCTATATAAGGTCAAGTTAATCGCCTTGCTTTTAATGCTTGCGCCATATACTGCTATTTAACGAAAATATCCAACCACAGTAAATTACGGTGAAATAAACAATTCACATTTCAATTGTTTTATTGGAATATTTCCCTGTAAGTTAAAATCCTCAGTAATAAATGTGTCGAACTGATGAAATTCCTCTACAATTTATTTGATTAATGTTTGTATATGTGTTAGATGGCTGGCATCCTGTGGCAACACATTCTTGGTTGTATAAAATTGAGTTAATATGTATACTTTGTTTTTATTTTGTTCTACAAGTATTCACACAACCAGTTAGACATAAAGGAGAAAAAAAATAGGCAATGAATTCCAAGAAAATGGTAAAACATAAAACATCTATACAACCAAAGAACGTAACAGAAGATTTCCTACAGACCGAAGAGCTTGTCGGCTGAAGGAATAGTGTATTAAGCCTACTATTATTACAAAATACAGCTTTGTTTGTGTTATGTCAGACAAAAACTGACTCTACTGCTACCTACCGTTCTGATCATTGTTATTTATAATCAACATTTAAATCGTTCTTTCAGGAGTCTGTTAACAAAGCCCAAGTCAGAGATGACCCCCGAGGAGCTCCAGAAACGGGAGGAAGAGGAGTTCAACACCGGTCCTTTGTCGGTGCTCACCCAGTCGGTGAAGAACAACACTCAGGTCCTCATTAACTGTCGCAACAACAAGAAGCTGCTCGGAAGAGTCAAGGCCTTTGACAGGTACTTATTTAACTGGTTTAGTAGAATATGTGATCAAATGGTTTTGTAATATTTTACGTTTCTGTTATTGCATTTAATTTAGCTTTGTATTTATTTATTTTTTGCTACCAATAACCAGATGTTTTTATGGTAGTTGTGATAAATCGGATACTTTCAGTCATCTCAAAAACCATCAGAAATGCACAAATTTTGCCAATCAAAACTGAACAGTTAATATTGGATAATTGTCTCCACAATTTAAAACTACAGTGAAAGTAAAGAAAAAACCCTAATGTCCTTGTTACGCATGGGATGATATGAAGTTTAATAGTGAAAAATCCCCATGATCGTAATTCATCAGGTCGTCCTGCATAAATAACGGATAAACAAAATAACTGCAGAATGATAATTCCTGTATTTTTTAATCAGCCACTATTTCTGTTAATTCTCCACCATGAAAGAGAGCTAGACAGCTTTTTAAGTTACTCAAGTGACAATATTCCCAACAATGGAAATTCACCATGGTCAACATGTTTTTTTTTTGTTTTTTTTAATGTGATCCTATATCGTCCCATCCCGAGTCCTTGTTGTTTAAAATGAATCTTCTTGCCATTAGCTTGAAATATTTTCCTGTTCTCATCCTAAACATTATTTCTGTGAGTTTTGCTTGAATGAGTGTTTCATGTCCGATTCACCTGCAGCTCTGAACTGGATAAACTTGAGATAAATTGCCTGATGAACACCACTTGTTCATAAGAAGTAGCGCATGAGTTTTGTTTATTTCAATTTTTAAACATTTAAAACATCCATGGAAAAGAGACTGGTTTGTAATTACAGATTTAAAATGCTGATTAACGGGCTCAGCTGGCGGACATGCCGCTCAACCAGAAACATCTCTAAATGCTCAGTCTGGTGCAGATACATCTTAGTTCTTATAGTGAATGAGCTAAAATCACCTTAATGTTGGCAATCAGCAGGCAAAATAGGAAGCACTGTCAGTAGTTGAAATAAATATTAATAGTAAAGCTGCCAACGTTGTGTGATCAGCAGCGCTGTACTATGACAGGCAAATAGGAGTGGTCCTTGCATGAAGTTAGACGCATAAAACATCTCTCTAAAGGACTAATACGGGAGGTGGTCAGCAGCGTTCTAGTCTACAGTAGATGATGTTTCACTGTTTAAAGCACCAGAGGATGATACTGACCAGCGACCGGCTTAAAGACCCAGAGACAGCTGTCAAAGTGTGAGAATATATCTACTGAGCGGTACACGGTGCTGTGCCGAAATATGCCTCAAAATCTTAAAAACCTCTTAGTAAATTGGCACGCCATGATGATTATTTAGTCAAATAAGGTATTATCATTCTCAAGTCAATAATTCTCAAATTGTTCCCCTATGGAGACTGTCAGAATGTTATTGTAATTAATAGAACATTTCAAAGTGCATTTCTCTTAAATCATCTGTATGAGGGTTTTATGCAGGAGGCCCATTGTTTGTTTGTTTCCTTTCAAAATCTATATTACTATGTTTCAATGATGTCATTTCAGGCACTGCAACATGGTCTTGGAGAATGTGAAGGAGATGTGGACGGAAGTTCCCAAGAGCGGGAAAGGAAAGAAGAAGTCCAAGCCCGTGAATAAGGACCGCTACATTTCTAAGATGTTCCTCAGAGGGGACTCCGTCATCATCGTGCTGAGAAATCCTCTGATCACAGGAAAATAAACTCTTTGTAGGCGTCCAGCTGGATCGGTCACAGAGCCCTTTTTCCTTTTTGTTGAATGGTTTGAAGGCAGTGGACTGAAATGAATGGAAACCTGTTTGTTTTGTCATTGGATTACTGCAGTCATTGGGTAAGATACAAATAGTCAAAATGATGTCTACGTTTTTTTTGGAGAGCCATTTAGTCACAAGAATACCTGCTTTTGCGTTGTCAACAGAAGTCCTCTGTCTTTTTCATTTTGATAATAAAAGTGATGGATAGATTCAAGTGTTGTGAAGTCATTTTTTGTTTTCAAGTTGCTCCTGTTTTAATAACATTTAAGACTGGTTTGATTTATTATCTATCTATTGCACACTGAATCAGATGTGTTGGAGAAAGTTCTTTCTACTCCATTTTTTCTCGGTTATCCTTGCCGTCGTCCTCCTTTCACTCTCCCCTGACAGCTTCTTAGGTGTCGGGCTTGATTTCAGTCGGCAGCGCTCAAAATGCGACAAACTGCCGTTTAAAGGCCCGCTGCATTATTGATGAGAGCAGATGTGCTGACTGTCACTTCACACCCTCGTCTCGCTCCCATTTCAGGCCGTGCCGCTCCACTCAGCCCCTCCTGACCACTTTGTTAATTGTCTTAATAGCTTAACAGCTAGTCTCGCCTTACTTCTCTCTCACAGTTGCTACCTAACCTCGCTCTTTGCTGCTCTCAGATTTAGTGGTCAAGTCTACGGGATTTTGATTGTTTGAGTGCATTTTTAAAAAAAAAAGCATGTCTGTGTATTTTATCCTTTTGGGAAAGCTGAACGGTATTGATTTTTGAATCGGTGTGGAAATTCCCTTTGGTTTAGATACAGGCCTTATAATTGCAATACATATCATTTCTGTCTAAAAGCATCTTATATTCCATTATTAAAATCTACTTCACTGTGCCTAAACTTTCCTTCCACTTACAGTATTCTGTTCTAATATATTTTCATAAACTGTATCGTACACATGTTGTAGTCTCACTGTTGATCCTAGCCTGCCTCAGGCCAGCAGCTGTGGTAGATGTGTGTGTGTGGACAAGGCCTCACTGATTTACAGCTCTTAGGTGTAGGCTGCTGGGTCATAAGGAGGAGTAAACTATCAAGAGAATCCACCTAAACACTGAATATGAAATGCAGTGAACTCTCATGACTCGTCTATGACTGATGTAGTGGTACTTATTGCACTCGTGCTCCAGGCAAACCTTGACTTTTAACAAAAGTTTGAGGAGATTGTGTTGCAAGCGCCGGAAAACTGAAAAGTGTGAGCTGTCAGCCCGAGGCGTGAAGAAACACAGCGGCTGCTTTGGGCCCAAATGACTTTACTGCTAGCTTCTTTAATTATTGAGGTCATTTTAATCTATACATCTAATTGTACGTATGCTCTTTTTGTTCTTTCTACTGCAGTTGAAGGAGAAAAATAGGTCAAACTAACAAATACTTTGATTGACCTATGATTTTAAAAAGTGATGTAAAGACGATACTCATTTGGCATGGCTGAGATCATTTCATTGGTTTTATTTTAAGTTGCTGTAATTGTTTCTTCTATGCGCCTTAGAAATGTGTTGGGGCACAGAAGCTGAAGCATCACCGAGCACACAGTAGAAACATGTTGACACCTTTATGAGCTTAATCTCCTGTTGTACTAAAACAGTTTTCCCCCTCACTGTTAGACAGATGTGATCCAGCTGTGAAGTCTTTTGTTTAGACATGGAAAGAAGAGACAGCAGAGAAATCAAGGTAAGATTTTGTTATTTGAATGGAAGGCCCATTGTAATCACTCGTATACGTATATCTTTATATTCGTGTTCAACATGCATTTAACACAGTTTGTTTCTACCAGACAGAATTTTGTCTGGACTCTTTTGCTGAAGCCAAATTCATACTCTTTATGAAAAGTGATCCATTGGGCTACAGTTTGTGTGTAAGAATCTACAGTCAGTGCAACGATGAAGGAACCATTTACATTTACAGTATACAGTATGTGTGTGTCCAAAGTTTGGATGTGACTGTCTTTCATGTCTTTAAAATAGATAAAGCCAGCTAATAATGCTGAATTGCAAATATCTTAGTGGTGCAGGAGTGTGTTGACAGGTCCTTTAAATATTCAGACAAGCTGACAAACAGGAGTTTGCTTCAGAAGACAAAGTTAGACATAACAAGCAAATTGAGCACCAGACGATGCCCACAGAAATCCAGTATCGGGGCCCCAAGAAACCTGAGTTGGCTCTGCAACATTGGTTTGTAAGGATGTATGGATGATGTGTCACAAGCAAGATTAATATAATCTCACGTTTAGGCTATTGAAATCAAGTAACGTTCTATGTGTAGGTTATTTAGGATGAAATCACATCTCAAAATAATTGCCCTCGCTGTTGCAGCATCCTGGGACAAAGCACTGTCAAAAAGCTGGTGCGTCTATTTGGAGATGGCTGAGATAAAAACAACTTTGGGGACCTCATTTGTTGGGTATCATCGTGCACTTTTCTCATGTTACTGAACTCATTCCAAAGACACTTCAAGAAGTCTCTTTCCCTCCAGA